CCCCGCTCTTGTGCTCTTTCTCTCTCTCACTCTCTCTCTCAAATAAATAAATAAAAATCTTTAAAAAAAAAAAAAAAAAAGCCACCAACCAGGGTGCCTGGGTGGCTCAGTTGGTTGAGCATCTGACTCCTGGTTTTGGCTCAGGTCATGATCTCAAGGTCATGGGACTGAGTCCCACATCAGGCTCTGCACTCAGATGGGAGTCTGCTTGAGATGCTCTCTCTCCCTCTCCCTTTGGCCCTCCTCTTGCTTTCTCTCTCTCTCTCTCAAATAAATAAATCTTAAAAAAAAAAGCCCCCAAAAAGTCACCAACCACGAGTCTTTTAAATTTAAAATATTTAAAATAAGAGAATATACACACGTGTATTTTCTTTTTTTTTTTAATTTTATTTATTTATTTGAGAGAGAGAGAGCAAGAACGAGGAGGAGAGGCAAAGGGAGAGGGAGAAACAGACTCCCCACAGAGCAGGGAGCCCGACACAGGGGTCAATCCCAGGACTCTGGGATCATGACCTGAGCCGAAGGCAGACGCCTAACCAACTGAGCCACCCAGGTGCCCCCTTGTATTTTCTTTCTAAGTCAGAAAGAAAGTAGGTAATGGGGAATACTTTGGTTCAAACAGTTTGCAACACTGGTTACCAGGAATACCCTAGACAGTCCTTAGCAAGAATGTAAAAATGATCCCTTAAAGTGGGTGGGAAGAACATAAAGACAAAGTAAGATATTTTGTATGGGGAAAGTCTGTACCTTAGAAAATGGCTCCTAAATAAATAAATAAATAAATAGCCAAGGTAAGATGCTGTGACAGATTCAGAAATTAATGAGAAAATTTTCTAACCTCAAGGAACTTAGAGTAGAATAAATTGTTAGGTTACTCTTTTATTATTACTATTTTTCCTCAAAATTCCTGCTTATTGACTATTTACTCAGAATAACTATACCCCCAAACATGAAACATTTAAAATGTTTTTGTAACATATCCTTGACTATGCTCTAAGAATACTTTTATTGCCATTGTACCTAGGGTAGATCAGAATAATAAAATTATTATTATAAGGTCAAACTAGTTAAGCTGTTGCTAGTTTAATAATTCATATACAGTTGACCCCTGAATAATGCACAGTGCAGGGTTTGGGGCACTGACCCCCTGTTTAGTGAAAACCCATGTGTAACTTTTGACTCCCCCAAAACTGAACTGAATGTCTCTAATATACGAAGAGCTCCTATAAATCAATAAGGGAAAAAACATCCAAATAGAAAAAAAATCCAGGCACTCTAAAAGAAAAAGACCAATAAACATAGGAAAATATTTTCAAACTTATTAAATCTAAGTAATGCACATTAAATGAATTTCATACTTTTTTCATCATCATAAGAGATGAAATTAATGATCCTGAAGAAACAAGCATTTTACATAATAATTTCTCAAATAAAAAAGTCCATGAGTACAGAGAATATGTCTCATTCACTACTGTATCCTTATACCTGGCACACTGGTGTGCTAATAGACACAAATATCTGCTGATGACAAAATTATGGTATATACATATTATGACATAGATCTATATTTATTACCATAAAAAGATATCCAGGGAGCATCAAAATATTTGAGGGAAAACTTGCTAAAACTGTGAGAAGAAACAGATGATTCCTCTATTAAGGTTGGAGGCTTTCATACCCCTCTAACAGAAAGAAATACAAGGCCAGCAGGCAGAAAATCAGTAAAGACAGTGTTGAATTAAATAGCACCACCTATCAACTGGACATAATTGACAGACTACTTCACTCAACAAAAACAGATTACACATTATTCTCAAGTTCACATGAAATATTCACCAAGATGGACAAGACTCTGGGCCATAAAACACCTCTTAACAAATTTAAAAGAACAGAAATCATATAATATTTGTTCTCACTGAAATGGAATTAAACAAGAAATCAGTAACAGAAAGTTAGCTGGATATTTTCCAAATACTGGGACATTAAACAAAATACTTCAAATAACAGAGAGCCAAATAAGAAACCTCAAGAGAAATTAAGAAATGTTTTCACCTGAATGAAAATAAGAATACAATTTAAAATTTGTGAGATGCAGAAAATTCCCTTAAAAGTTACATATATTAGAAAAGAGGAAAGATCTAAAATCAATAATTTAAGCTTCCACCTTAGGAAACTAGAAAAAGAAGAACAAATTAGGGGCGCCTGGGTGGCTCAGTTGGTTGGGCGACTGCCTTCGGCTCAGGTCATGATCCTGGAGTCCCGGGATCGAGTCCCGCATCGGGGTCCCTGCTCAGCAAGGAGTCTGCTTCTCCCTCTGACCCTCCCCCTCTCATGCTCTCTCTCTCTCTCATTCTCTCTCTCAAATAAATAAAATCTTTAAAAAAAAAAAAAGAACAAATTAAATCTAAAGTAAGCAGAAAAAAAAGAAATAATAAAAATTAAGGCAGAAAGAAAGAAATCAGTAGAGAAAATCAACAAAACCAAAGCTGATTCTTTGAAAAGATCAGTGAAATCTATGAGCCTCTAGCCAGGTTAACTAAGAAAAAGAGAGGATACAAATGACTAACATCAGAAATGAAACAGGGGACATCACCACAGATCCCATGGACATTAAAAAGAGGATAAAGGAGTATTATGAACAATTCTATGCTTGCAAATTTGATAATTTAGATGAAATGAAGCAATTCCTTTAAAGACACAGTTTGCCAAAACTCACACAAGAAATAGACAATTTAATTCGGCCTATATCTATTAAAGAAATTGAATCAATAATTAATAAACTTCCAAAAAAGAAAGCATCAGGCTCAGATGATTTCACTCTTGAATTCTACCAAACATTTAAGAAAGAATTTATACCAATTCTCTACAATCTCTCCCGAAAGATAAAAGCAAATAGAATACTTCCTAACTCATTCCATGAGGTCAGCATTACCCTAATACTAAAATCAGACAAAGCCATTATTGGTACTGGCAAAGGAGTAGACAAATAGATTGATGGAACAGAATAGAGAGCCCAGAAATAGACGCACATAAATATAGTCAACTGATCTTTGACAAAGAAGCAAAGGCAATACAACAGAGCAAAGACAGTCTTTTCAATAAATGGTGCTGGAAAACTGGACATACACATGCAAAAAAACAAACCAAAAAAAGGAGGTAGAATAGATCATACACCCTTCACAAAAATTAATTCAAAATGGATCGTAGACCTAAATGTAGAACACAAAACTATAAATGTCCTAGAAGATAACATGGAAGAAAACCTAAATGACCTATAGCATGGCAATGACTTTTTAGATACAGCACCAAAGGCACAATCCCTGAAAGAATTAACTGGTAAGCTGGACTTCATTAAAATTAAAAACTTCTCTGTGAAAGACAATGTCAAGAGAATGAAAGGACAAGCCACAGACTGGGAGAAAGTATTTGCAAAAGACACATCTGCTAAAGGACTGCTATCCAAAATATACAAAGAACATTTAAAACTCAACAATAAGAAAATGAACAGGGGCGCCTGGGTGGCTCAGTCGTTAAGCGTCTGCCTTCGGCTCAGGTCGTGATCCCAGAGTCCTGGGATCAAGCCCCGCATCAGGCTC